GAGCGCTTCCAGAAGCTTTCCAACAACTACCAGCCAGAAGTCCAGGTAATTGGTTTCGATTATCCCGGCCCGCAGCAATGGCTGACATGTCGACAGGGCCCCCTTGTCTCAATAAAACAGTCTAGCCACAGCATCGCGATGGATTACTCGAATGCGGATCCTACCCTAGCTACAAAGACAAATGTAAGCTTTGGTGGCTTGAGCCTCTTGTGCTACCACACTGTGTCTAGCATCTAACTTCTTATAGGCGCTTGCTATCACCCATCCCGATTGCCGTATCATGAAAGGCGATGGGAATTGCGGCTGGAGAGGTATGGTCATGTGCATTCGATATGAAGTGTTTCTCATGCTAACCCTATACAGCTGTGGCATTTGGTTATTTCGAGACCCTCTTCGCCCTCCGAGACACGCTCCGTATCGAGACAGAAATTCGGAGAATGAAGTCTCTTACTACGCTTTTGGAACGCGTCGGCCTGTCGGATTCCATCTACGAGATCTTTGTCGATGCCACAGAAGAAGTCCTCAACCGAACCCATGCTGCGATCCAAAATGGCGCCCAAGACGAGTCTTTCCTGGTCGATGCTTTTAATGATGGATACTCCTCTGATGCTATCATTACCCACTTCCGTGTAAGTCTTTCTCGTTAGATGATGTTCGCCCTTTTATTTATCTGGACGTAAACTGATTGCCTCGCCTTGCAGATTTTGACGAGCGCGTGGATGAAGCTCAATCCACACCGGTACCAAGCTTTCCTTCCTATGCCACTGGATCAGTACTGCAGCTCCCGGATAGACCCAGTGAAGACCGAGATCGACGAGGTTGGTCTTCAGGCACTGATCGACGGTGTAATCGAAGGTTCCGGCTTTGGGGTCGAAATTCTTTATCTCGACCGAAGCGAAGGCGAGGTCGTGACACCTCACCTACTGTCCTCTAATCGTCCCAGTGGTGCAACCATTCGCCTCCTATACCGACCGTGAGTTACTTAGCAGTTAACATGTATTGTACCAGATCTAACATTCCACACAGAGGCCATTATGACATCCTTTACCCAGTCGAAACGACCTTGAATATGGCACCCATAGTTAACCTCCAATACGGAATGACGTCCGACTACTCCCCCTGGGATCAAGCTCTCGCATTCGACGTCAATTCAAGCTTAATGGCAATCCCCAATCTGATGCAAGACACTTCCTTCGGGATGGGCGCTCCCATGTCTCCAATGCCTTCTGTCTCGCCAGCCCCTGCCAGTCCATTCCGCATGTCCCCGCAACAAGACATGTACCAATCCCCCATGCCAACTCACGCACCTATTCCGTCAATTCCTGTCTCTCCTCCTTCGCAGATCGCGCCATCCGCCGCCCCGCCACCGATGACTTCCCTGCCTAGTCGAACATCAGACGGCCCGCAGATTCGTTTGAATCCATTAGTGATGAAACCGAATCTCAGTCGTTCGTTGCCAGTCACCACCCCTTTCAAAAAGTGAGTTCCGTCAACCTCCATACAATCGGCGTCGTTACTAATTTATCTCTCTTAGCTCCCCATATAACCAAGCCCATTTCCAGAATTCCGACTTCGAACCCATCCATTGGGAACCACATGAACGACGATAAAACTTGTACGCTGTGCATGACAAGAGCCATGAATCTCGAATCTCGTTTCCTTTCTCATTTCTCCATAATGATCATCGTGGGCTAATTGGCCCGACTCTTATCACATTGTCAAGCGGATTAGCCCCGGGCCAGCGTATCTTACTTTCATGTTTTTCTTTTTCATGAAACTCACCCTCTTCCATTCTGGTTCTAGGAATAGGCACGGTTCACATTTTCCCTCTTTCTTATCCCCTTCTCTTCTCTATTATTGTCCTCTTTAGCGTGGTGCAGCGCGTTGCATGGTACGAGCGTTCTCGCCCAGATTGTTTCGTTTCTGTTTTTTTCTTAAGCCTCTCGGGGTCTTTGTTTTTTTCGTTTTTTCGATTCTTTTTTTAGGCTCTGGAACTGCAAGAAATGCACTACTATTGAACCATATGTGTGTCTTACTCTCAGTTATTGGGTAGAATGTAAGGATGCCAGAACGGGTACTAACTTGTATAGAATGTCGTAGCCGGTATCTACATGGTAGAGTATTTCATAATTGATGAAACATGATCAAGCCCCATTCGTGATGGTCTGTGATGTTTAAAGAGGTTGCCCCTTCACCTACATCAACCATACATACATCTGTGAATATGGTGCGCCAAATTTACCTACAGCTAAGCCCGGGAATTACCTATTCGGGAAGTGTGAATAACATCACGATCCCGACTTGCTGTCATTGAACTGCTGACGGGAAGGCATATCTCTATGCAGATTTTTCATCTTCAACAACTCCTTATCCCTACAAATCCTACACCTTTGATCATTGATTTACTTCCTTACTCATATACCCTTTTATCATTAAATTCACTATCTCCATCATTAGGCATAAGACCTTCCAATGGAATCCCCATCCTAAGATATCCTCATCATCTCTACCCTTATAACGTCGCGCAGTCAGCACCAATACTGCCTGCCAGCACTGGTTGAATACAGTTATGACTTCATCATTTCGGTAGATCATATTGGCAGCGATCTCAACCAACAAGCTTTGTCTATACATCCAGATATCATTCCCAGATCCCAGATCCTACAATGATCTAGAGCGAGAACATACACGCTCGGCTATTACCTAAAAAGGGAGGCAGATCAGCTAATCGATGGTTGATCATGAAGTGTTTTTTCGTTGGAGATTCTGTTGCTCAGGGTCAGCGTTCAGATACTCCACGACTGACCTCTGGCGTATCCCAGATCCAGTTCTAGCTATTTCACTTTTCTACCCCGTTAAGATTTGATAGGAGTGATTATGCCTTCAGTTCACTATACTTGAGCTATAGTGCTGTCTGCCGATATCGGGCGTTAGTTGAGGGGTGACGACGAGGATGGAGAGCTTGGGCATGTTCTTTATGGCCTTGTAGGTTTTGACGTTCTATTTGGTTATATTGCTTTCAGTCGGTTTCAACAGAAGAAGTACTCAATTTTGCTTTTTAATTTATTTATTAAAAAGAACATCGATTCTGACGCATGAAGATGGCTTCAGGATGACGTCGGTGGAATGTTATGACTTCCAGCAATCACTTCCCACTAAACAACCGACTCAGTGCATTCGGAAGAGCCCTAATAACCTGCCATAACACATAGGCAGTATCACCCGTCGCAGAACTAGCATACGCCGCCGGACGGGAAGGAATGTCCGCAGCGACAAGAATCGTATTCACCAAAGCGGCAGGGTAATGTTCACGCAAGTACGCAATGACCAGATCATGTCCATTTGTAATTCCACCTGAATCAATCTCAGCATTCACATCCACATTGAACCAGAGTCAACCCCAAAAAAGAAAGAAAAAAACATACCACTAGTCCACAAATTCCCATCCCTAGCAACCCTCACCGAATCATCCCACAACTTCGCCTCAGGAAATCTCTTTTTCATCTCAGAAATCAACAACCGCGGCGCAGTAACTTCCCTCCCCTTCGCAATTCCGGAGTACCCGATAACAAAGGCACCAGTGCAGATACTCAAGATCGGCGTGCCGGCCGCGAAATGCGCGCGCACGAAGTCGAGGTATTCTTCTGCGGGTGGCATGGCTTTAGGTGGTGGACCGGGAATTACCAGGATATCTAGTTTTCCCTGAGAAACTGCAGAGTCTGTGAGCGAGTTGGTTAATTGGATGGTCATCTGCGAGGTCGTGTTGACTGTTGTGTTTGGTCCGTCGTGTGCGATGTAGTGGATCTCGCAGGGCCGACCCATGTCTACTAGTGGCTGCGGGAGTGAGCATTCTTGGAGGTATTCTGGGGTTGTCATGTAGAGGAGATCGATGGCTGCTAGATCGAGGAGTTGAACGGTTCCTACGAGGAGGACGCCGATGCGGAGGGGGAGTGACATGGTGTGGAAGGTTAGGTTAGGGATCTGGGAGTTTAACTTTAAGATCTAGAAGTTTGACTCCAGGAGAGCGAGGATTGATCACATTGCGCTGGGAAAGTCAGATGCTACTTGCTGCATCTGATTTCTCTTGAGAAACCACCCTTGATGGACTATCCAGCAGCTGACATACGTCTGGATGTCCGGCTAGAGGCCCGGCTAGAGGCCCGGCTGATGCTCTTTGGCACTGGACCCGGATGAAATTGCACAGGACTTGGCGATTTCCTGGCAAATTTGCGCATAATCACGCAAATTGTGATTTTTTTTTCAGCGAAGATGGGTTTCACATGGGCAGCACAGAATGCTAAATCACCCGTAGCAATTGTCACAATCCAGGAATTCGCTCATAATGAGTCATCTTGTGATTTCAATGATTAAAGACAAAGTAATTCAATCGAAACATGCAATATCAATATTTCAACAATATTGTCAAAACCTGGTTTTCGCGATATATCGGACTTTACCCGAAGACAAGAATTTCCCACCCGACGCCATATTCCCCACAAGGCTTCGGGTTCGGGATGACGATGCCGAGTTTCTTTAGGGCTAGGATTTTATTCAAAATTTATATTAAGAAAGGTGTGTTTTGATATCTATATAAAATAAATGTATAATAGTTAAATAGATTAGTATTTAGTTCTTCCCCCGTTGTTTTTTTTTTTTTCCCAACGTTCTCAGACACTGACAGGGGTTCCCCGCAATATCAAATTGGCCCCCCGACCTCGGGCTAGTCGGCCCATCAAATTCGGGGAAAAAAGGCCCTGCCCCAGTTTCGGGCCCCTTTCTTTCGCACGGAGTAGCCCACTCCGTTTTCGTATGTGGTTTTCATCCTTCGGAGTACTGTCTTCCTGATCTATATACCCCAGACGGAGCACTGTGTTCCTGCTTTGTTTATACCCCAGACCGGAGTACTGTGTTCCTAGCAGAGTCCGGTACTTGGAGTATATAAAGCCTAACAGGGATTATATCTATTCTCATCGGCTCAGAAAACTAAATATCGGCATATCATGGCTACTATTACAACTAGCGCGCCGAAGAGCGGCTATGCGCTTGTCCTGGAGAATCCCTTTCTATGTGGTGTGGCATCGGTACGTGTTTGCTCTTGCACGATATTAAACTGTTGATTCACTAACGTTGGGACAGTTCTCGACCCTAGGTGGTTTATTATTTGGCTATGATCAAGGTGTCATTAGTGGTGTTATCACCATGGAGTCCTTTGGAGCTCGATACCCTCGAGTATTCGCAGAAAGTGGTTTCAAGGGATGGTTCGTGTCAACACTGTTGATTGCAGCCTGGGCTGGTTCCTTGATCAATGGACCTATCGCCGATCGATTTGGTCGGAAGATGTCTATCAATCTGGCAGTTGTGATCTTCGTCATTGGTTCCATTCTCCAATGCGCTGCTATGAGTGTTCCAATGCTGTTCGCTGGTCGAGCTATTGCTGGTTTGGCTGTTGGTCAACTGACCATGGTTGTGCCTCTGTACATTTCTGAAGTTTCTATTCCAGAGATTCGTGGAGGTCTTGTGGTTCTACAGCAATGTAAGTTTGTCTTAAGATTGAAATATGGCACATCAACTAATTTGCATTTAGTATCCGTTACTATTGGAATCTTGATCAGCTACTGGATCGACTATGGAACAAACTACATCGGTGGCACTCGATGCGCTGCTGATATCCCTTACTCCGGTGGTACAAGTTCAAAGCCCATCTTCGATCCTTACCATGATGTTCCTGCTGGTGGCTGCACTGGCCAGTCCGAGGTGTCGTGGCGTCTTCCCCTCGCCCTGCAGATCGTTCCGGCCGTTATCCTCGGTGTTGGAATGCTGTTCTTCCCAGACTCCCCCGTTGGTTGTTGATGAAGGAGCGTGATGACGATTCGCTGCACGCGCTCTCAAGACTGCGTCGCCAGGATCGCAATAGTCCTGCTCTCAACAACGAGTACCTCGAAATCAAGGCTTCTATCATGTTGGAAAATTCCTTTGCGAGGGACAACTTCCCTGGCCTCTCTGGGTTCAGGTTGCACGTTGCTCAGGTGTGTCGCCAATTCCTCCCTTATAACTCAATCTCACTAACAATTTTCAAAAGTACATGTCCTTCCTGACCAACTGGTCCCGCTTCAGACGGTTGGCTATTGGCTGCATCGTGATGTTCTTCCAACAGTTCATGGGTTGTAATGGTATGTCATTTCCCCAACACACACTCATATATAGCAGCATCTAATTCATACAGCTATGATCTACTATGCACCTACGATCTTCGCCCAGCTCGGTCTGGATGGCAACACCTCCTCCCTCCTTGCTACTGGTGTCTACGGCATCGTCAACTGCCTCAGCACCCTCCCCGCGCTCATCTTCATCGACAAAGTCGGTCGTCGACCTCTGCTCATGGCTGGTGCCGCGGGAACTTGCATCTCGCTGGTGATTGTGGGCGGCATCCTGGGTGGCTTTGGCTCCTCACTCGTGAGCAATAAAACCGCCGGTTGGGCTGGTATTGCCTTTATCTACATCTACGATATTAACTTCTCCTATTCCTTCGGTAAGCTCATGCCTTATACCCCTCTTCTTGTCTTCTCTAGCATAGACTAACAACATTTCCACTATCAGCCCCTATCGGTTGGGTTCTTCCTTCCGAAATCTTCAACCTCTCCATCAGATCCAAGGCCATTTCCATCACAACCTCGGCAACATGGATGTGCAACTTGTAAGTGACAGCATTCCAAGTCGACCGCTATTCGATTCGAATCTAACAGTCTCTACCTTGCAGCATCATTGGTCTTATCACACCTGATATGCTCGAGTCCATCACCTACGGCACATACATCTTCTTTGCTGCCTTCTGTCTTCTCGCATTTGCATTCACCTTCTTCTGCATTCCCGAAACCCGTGGAAAGGTATGTTCCGAAACCTCTGTTCCAGCGTGGACACATGAAAGATTCACCATGCTAACTATTTTCCAACAGACACTCGAAGATATGGATCTCATTTTCGGCGACACAGCCGCCCACGAAGAAAAGATGCGCATCAAGCACATCGAAGCCGAATTGCGCGGAACACCTATTGAAGAAGACATCATCAAGCCGCTCGATTCCCACGCGGAGCAGGCATGAACACCACGAAACGCAATGACGGCGTAAAGAGAATATTACGCATACATAATAACTTATTGACATAGGATGTCACGAACTGTATATCAAAAATCAAATCCAGTCAAAATCTTGTATTTGAAGTATTCGCTGATACCTATGTGACTTCCAAAAAAAGCCCTAATTCCCATTTTTCCATATACCCCTCCTACAATGCAAGCTACATACAAACAAAAATAAATAAATAAATAACAAAACTGCTTCATTCCGCCGCTGGGAAATTCACCCATTCTGAAAAGTCCATGCCACCTGTACTGTGCATTTGCATGTGCTGCTCGACTGGAAAGAGGCTTCCGCCAAATCCGGGATCACTGAAGAGCTGCCCAGGGAACGGCATCATGTTGGGCTGCGGTTGTGGGGGCATGTGCTGGTGCTGGTGTTGTTGCTGGGCTTCGTGTTGGTCTCCGTCGGTTGGGATTCCCTGCACTGGGTGCGTTGGTGGACCGAGGAGTCGGTTGATGACTTCGAAGCAGCGGGTTGCGAAGCGGTTTGTGCCGAGCGAGGGGTGGGTTAGGAGGGATTTTGTGGTTTCGATGTCCTGGAGCCAGGAGGCGGCTTCGGGGTTTGAGGGGTCGGTCATTAGGAAGACTATTGGGATGAGACCTGCTTGGAAGAGGAAGTATCTATTTTTTATGTTAGATGTCTGGTGGAAAGGAATAATGGGTGCGTAGATAGAGAAACACATACAGCATATACCATGCCCCAAGTCTGGTGCACATATAGTTCTCCATGTACTCCGAGATGGAGGAGATGGTCAGACGCGCGTTCTGGAGACAGCGCAATCGGCACTCCGTCTCAAAGGGATCGTCGCACCCTGTATCCGGCGTGCCTGGACCGCTGCCGCTAAGTGGGGCCCAGCGTCTAGCGGCCCAGCGGAGTAGGATTGGTCTGTAGATCAGAATGGTGAGATTCCAGTTTCGCCATAACAGGCGGTTGCGCACGAGTGCGAGAGAGTCCGGGTCTGGATTGGTTGGCTGCATGGAGAGAGGAACCTGCGGGTGTTGGAGGTAAGATGGGAGGCTATTGTACCATTCTTCGATGGGTTTTTGCAGGTTCAGTGTGTCTTCTGGGGTGAGGCTGGGGCTTGAGATGAGGCGTTGATAGACGCTATTGGTGAGCAGATGGAAGCTGGCCTGGGCAATTAAGCCGGAGTAGATGGTTGGGCCGGGGGATTCGGCTGGCAGAGTTGTTGTTGTGGGAGTCAAAGCCTGTAATGTATTAGTTAAAGCTGTTTTTTTACGTCTCATGTTGGTTGCAAATACCTCTTCGTGGATGTTTCGAACCTGCTTCGCATCCATGACATTGTCCTCTGGGAGTAAAATCGGTCTTCCGAAGGTTTTTGCTGCGCCGCTGTCGAAGATGAAAACTCCCCACCACAATCTTCTGCGGATTTCTCTTTGTAGGAGACTGATCTTCCAGCCAGGGAACTCCTTGTGAAGGCCCAGGCTCATGGCCATTCGAACTGCTAGACCAAGATAATTCCATCCGGTGTTGGGCTTGTTCCGTTTCTGTGCATAGTTGCTCAGTAACAATAATGCTTGGACTAATGTCAGATTGCCAGTCTCAAACACAGATGCCTGCTGCAAGTATCCTCTGGCTTCTTGGTAGAATGTGATATCGAGGTCTGAGCTGTCATCGCCGATACACCAGGCTCCAAGAGCTAATATCGTGTTGAGGAGGATATGCCAGGCCGTGCCATGTGGGCGTAGAGATGGGTCATTAAACTGCATCCGGAAGGTGGGCTCGTGGATAAATGGATAGCTGGTATGATAATTGAGGAAGAAAGCGTCGATAAACGCTTGTTCGATCAGTCCAGATGGGGCACTTTCCAGAAGCTGTGCTTTGAGAGGCACACCTCCTGACCTTGCCGAGCGAACAGGTATATTTAGGTCAAATCCATGATCAAAAAGTGCTCGTAATGGTACGACACTTGAAGAAGCTCCTGTGATCTAGCTGTCAGTTTGGAAAACGAAAAGCATAATCCATAATGGATATTGAATGGACTAACCAAAGTAGCCAGCTCCTTCGGGCTTAATAGACAGCGCAGCCATGCCGTCTGTCAAATCACCAAGCGTAATTTCTTTCTCAGCCCAGTCAAAGCCATCGGCTTGCTGTGGGAGAGCTTCTGGTGCTGGCTCGGCCCGTTCTGGCTCATGCTTGACCGGGGTTGAATGCCTTGAAGAGGACTTGGATGAAGGGGCCCTTGGGACCTCTGGGTTTTGCAAAAGAGAACGGAGAGTAGCATCCAGATCACCACCTGGAAAAAGCCTTCCTAAGGCTGTTTCAAATGAGTGAAGGCGATCTTCAACATAGGTTAAGTGTCTGAAGTGGTCAGAGTCAGCCTTGTCTTCGAATACGAGCTTTTTTCGGTTCTGGTCACTTACTGCCGAGTCAGAGGACTTCTACTGACTTTCGGGCTGTATATACATTCTTTGTTCAGCTGTCGGCATTGCAGACAGACTGGTCGCTCTTTTGAGCACTATGATACCCGGGTTAGAGGGGCCAAGGCTGGCGGAGTCTAATACAAGGTACTTACTCTTGACTTGCGCAAGCGGCATTCGTCGCACTATTTGAACGGTTAGACTTCAATTCCTGCATTTATATCTCAGCTATCATGCAGACCGATCAATACATACAGCAAATGAGTGGGAATCACGAGTGCTAGTCATCTTTATCGAGGCAATTTAGATGTTTCGTATCTTGTATCCAATGCGCTGTGATCATGCCATACAACGGCAGTCATCTGTATAAACAGTTAGCCAATGCATTTGATATAATGAACGGAAAATGTTTCGCGAGAGGACCTCCACATCGGGTGTATCAATGTATAGCATAAAAGCATGGTATAGCTAGGGTGCATATACACATAGCGGTGTGGAAGTGATCTCTGGAATGGAGGATGTACTCACGATCGGCGCTAGAGCATAGCCTCTTGCAATGCGATGGATAAGATGCATCCATCGCTCCCCTCGATGGTGGGGAAACGGTCAGGTGATGCGTGCAGAAAACTCACATTGGTGCCTCAGGCAGACACTTTTGGAGATTTTGATCACAGCACTTGTTGACTGTTTTGTATGTTATTTCAAGGCTCCTGTGTGATTATATTTGTGGTTTGGCACTTATGAACTACATCAGTCGAGGTTTCAGGCGTATGATGTGGACCTTGAGTGAGTAGTATACAACGGGAACTATATATATTGCTTGCACACATCGTTCGAAGAATCATTAACCTATAGATTTTGAGTAGCAAATAGGTAGAGAGTCAAGAGTTCGATTAGCCATGGTATTATATTTACGCCCAAAAGAAAATAAGCCGAGAAACAGCAAGAGAAATCAAATGCTATGGAATATCATCTCGATATCCTATGTCTTGGCATTGCTGGATACCTGAGGGCCAATCACAAGCCGGGGACATTTTTTCTCGACATCATCTCCACGACTCGATCAGCAGCAACACTTTCAAACAAAGACTCAGTAATTGGGAAAGAAAGAGTGAAACTCGAATCAGTCTATCTATACCTTGCCAGGAACAACGGACATCATCAATATCTGAATCGAGGCGCAATCATGCCCTCTCAACCCCCACTACCGCCCCTCCTCGCGTCATATGTATCAAATCTGCCCGATTCATCTCTGACACTAGTCTCTTCTATCCTTGGAGCAACTTCAAACTGGCTGATTCTGAGATTTCTTCATGCTGCGCTGAGCGCACCAAGCCCCAACGCGGCATTTGGCTCAGACGAGCTGCAAAATGGGATCAAGAAGAAAGTGGTGCTGGTGAGCTTCATGCGGAGTTATGAGTTCTGGAGGACCGAGGCGAAGCGATTGGTATGTTTAGCCAAAATATTGACTGGTATTTGAAATTGAAATATGCATTTGCGTTCCATTTCTTATATCATTCATGTATTGATACATACTTTGATCGACAGAATTAACTAGGTTTATAGGGCCTTGACCTTGCGCGTTTGGCAGATAAGCAACAATTTGCATTCATAGATGGCTTGTCTGAGCTGTTCTACGCACCACAAGCCACAGCCACTCCCAGTATCTCACCGGCTGGCCTGGGAAGCAGCCCACGCACAACGCTTCCAATGCGGTCTGCACCTGGTGCTGTACCCGGAAGATCACCGCAGCCGGTGATGCCAACAGCTACAGGAGCGAGAGGAAATGTGACGCCGAAGCAGGCCGAACCTGGGATTGCAAAGAAGCTCCATTTCTCTGGCCGTGGTCTCGCCTCCCTCGATGCACTGGAGAAAGATATCTTATCAGTGATCGAACAGCAAAAGAGCACGATGGAAGATGGCGATGAGCTTCTCCTCATTATAGACCAGCCTGACCTGCTCCTTGCCGCAACAGGTCCAAGTATGGGAATTGGAGCAACGGAGATGTCGGAGTGGATCACAGCGCTACAACAGGTAAGGCCTTATCACTCCTGATAGGCAAAAACAAGGTTTACGACAGGGCTGACTATTTACTTGACAGCATGCACATGCTACGGTTTTGACGTTGGCTACAGATGCCCCATTAATACACAATGCATCCGCATTGGGAGGGGAGTTGGCTACGCCAATAGAGACGGAGCATGCGGCACTTGTTATTGGGCTGGCGCATCGGGCTCGGTCTGTTATGCAACTCCGCACTTTGGATACTGGAGCCGCAAAAGATGTGAGCGGGGTACTGCGGATCAGCCGAGGTGGTGGGCTGAATACGAGTGAAGAAGAGAGCCTAGAGGAGCGAGAGGCGTTGTACTTCATTCAACGGGATGGCGGAGTCAGGGTGTTTGGTCGTGGGGAATCATGAGTCGAGACTGTATACTATGGGTTAGACGTTCGCGAGTGCCTATGAAGAACAGCCATCGAAATCATGTCCAATCCAAGTCTCCGCGTCTTTTCGGAGAGCCTCGTACTGAGTAGAATAGATCATGAAATGGTAGGAAGAGTCTTCACATTGTATCTGTCATGACATGGGATATTCGCCAGCCATAGAAAAAGGAAATTCATTCACGCTTTCCCTGGGTTTTTTAATCCAGCTCTTTTCCGTAGAAAAGAGCCCCTCAACGAAACTTTTCCAATCGTCACGCAAGTTCTACTTTGTCATCATTGGCGTGGCAAAGAGAACCACCGTGATCGACTGTTGCACACACCAACTCCACGGGAAAGCGATAAGAGTCCGGAACTGCCATTGCATTTCGAGTAATGCTATCCCGTAATGCTAATTCATGTCATGCCAGGATCCCTCCCCTCATTCCTATTCCAGCCTCTCCGATAACGAAAACGCGACGCCGAGCAGACGAAAAAGGGAATCTAGTTGGTCACGGGGCCGCGGGCACCCTTGGGGGTACCGGTCTGGAAGCCGTTGAGGAAGCGGCGGTGGACATCACGCAGGGAGCGCATGCGGCCGGAGCCGGTGGTCTTGCGGCGCTTGGCCTTCTCACCCCAGTTGACTGTTCGTAGAAAAAAAAAACCATGTAAGCCAGAATTCTCGTCTTGGTGCCCATATTTCCAAATAATGGCCATAATTCATAACTAATGCTCTCGGGAGGGGTATTTGCGTACACTTGCGGGTCTTGGCAGCAGGGTAGCCGCAGTTGGCACAGGTCGACTTCTGGATGTGGAAAGACCGCTTGCCTGTAGAGTCGAAGATATCATCGGTTAGCCGTTGTCCTTGCTAGGTTGTGTGGTTGTCTTCGCCGTAATCGCTGATTCCATCTGTCCATGTAGAAATTTGCGACTGCGGGTCGGATGGGTGGGATCGTGAAAAATAGGTGTAATACGTACCACAACGACGGCACAAAGTGTGCGTCTTGTTGTGACGCTTTCCGAAACTCGCGGTACCCTTAGCTGTGGCGGTTGTTAGTCTGAAGTTATTCGACGTTGCGGAGGATCGCGGTGCGATGTTTCGACATCGGACGTACTCATCTTGAATTATGGAACTGTGGACGAGGATATATGTTAGTAAATCGACGGGGGTGAAGTGAGCACTTGTGGAGGGGCCGGCATGCGAACGTACCTGGCAATTCCGTTGAAGGGGCTGGTTGTCGGGTCGTCGTCGCTAAGCGTCTCGAAACTTGCCCAAGATCTGGCGATTGTGCTCTAAGCGAGTGCGTTAGTTAATCACGTGGACCCATCAGGGCTTGCCTAGATCCCGTGACTGGCACTAACCCTCATTGGCATTAAATGGCCCGTGCATATGTCAAATCACGTGACAGAGTTCATCTTGGAAAGCCAACCAATTACAAAGTCGTGGATATCATTGATTCATGTTTGTTCTATTTTGGTGATGTATATTATTCTGAGGTGGGATTTTACGACTACACATAAGAGGTATAAAACACAAATTATTGGGTTGTGCATTTGTTCACCGTTTAAACAGCACATCAAGAGGGTATTTTAGTACATCCGAACGCCCATGCAAGTAGTATATGGAGAACATCATCAGAATCAATCTTTCCCTATGAACTTCGCCATGGGATCTTCAGCAGCCAACCGGCTTCGCTTGTATGAGTCAAATTCCTCCTCTGTGACCCCTGACTTCAATTCTTCCAGCGTCCGCTTTTTTCCATTGGCACTTGAGTCCTGCTCTTGATCCCTGCCCTCGGCTTGTTCAGACTCGCGAGGGACATTCGCATTGACAGCGTCCTCAGAAATCTCTTCATTGTCATCGGCTGTTCCAATCATCCTTAACATGTTGCCTTCTTCCTCAAAGGCCTTCTTTCCATCCTCCCCTGTACAGTAGCTGTTCTTCACAGTGGAACAACAGCATGAATATCCCCATTTGAATTGGTACCACCAGCTGCCGAAGACCGAAGTATGATTGTTGACCATCACGTCTTCGGGGTACTTGGATTTGGTTGCGTTCTTGGGCGCGCCCTTGATAGCACCGCTCTCGTCATATTCAATGAATCGCTCGTTTTCAACGACCATCGTATCGCGCAGCGCACTTGGCTGTGTATGCTCCCCACCGCCGTATTTTTCCAGGAGAGCTTTGCGATGGGCCTCACGCTTAGCTTCACTATCAACCTTCTCCTTCTTTCGGAGAACTTCCCCAGATGTCGGATTGGCTTGGATGTGTAGTTGAGGGAGGCCCTTCTCTTGTGACTCCCATGCATATTGCTGAGCTTTCTCGAACTCTGCAGCATCGCCCGAAGCACGGACGAAATTCTCCTCTGCGACAAGTGCAGCGGCCTGATCGTCCTGCGCACCCATGTCCACCATTCGACGTGTCTTTGGGTCGTATTTGGCGGAATCAAGGTCCAGGTTGAGCAGGTATTTGGCTGTGTCTTCGCGAATACGTAGGTTGCGGGTTGCGGTACTCTGTTGCCGTCCCATATCGGATTCTTCGGCGTACCGGATATCCGAATCGGGGTCCTCATCGCCATCTTCACCGGCTTGAAGTTTCTTAAGTTTTGATTCCTCCTTCGCCATGCGCTTGATGGCCTCCATCTCTTCATATTCATCGACGACCTGGCGATATTCGGTGGCATCGTAACCGTTCCACCGATCTCTTTTGGCATCCCACCCCATATCGACCTTTTGGAGAAGTTCGTCTGCCTGAATATCCTTTCCAGTCCATTTGGCGCCTTGCTTTCGGGGTCGACTCAGACACTCTTTGGTTTTGTGTGTCATCGCGCCGCAGTTTTCACATGCGCCTTTGCGGTACTTGGTGGCTGCTGGACCCGCACGCTTTCCTCGGTCATACCATTTTGACTGATCAGGAAGGGCCTTCTGGAGACGCTGATGCTCCAGGTAGTCGTTGTTTGTCTCATCGTCGACGTAGAACGGCTTTTTCGAGATGAAGGATGGAATGTACTCGTTGGGCGTTTTTGACGCCACATCCGCGGGTTTTCGTGACATGACTGGTAGGTTCAAGGGGGGAGGGTCGGGGGTTGATTAGGAAAGAAAGGGAAGTAAGTATTGAAGTAGATCGAGCCACCTGTAGCTCTCTCCTGTAGTGAGATGAAAGATGAGTGAAGTTGCGATAGGCCCGAGCGTGGCGGGTGGAGAACTTTGGAATTGATATGAAAACACGTGACTAGGCGTTATCTCGCGTTGTCATGGACATACCTCCGTCGCGCTTTCTCAACCATTCTTACTGAGATGCCAAAAAGGACGCGCATGCGATAATAGGTGCATGAACCATTTATCCTTCGCAATGTTGCTGTGGCTTCTGGTCGCCACACACCACAGCGATGGAGCCATTCCGCGTGCGCCTCAACTATATCGATCATTATCAGGCCACCGCGTCGGAGTTGGATCCTCCACTACCTTTTCGTGATGACGTCTCAGAGAAAGACTTTAAGCCCAAAGTGCCTGTGATCCGAATATTTGGAGCCACCGAGACTGGCCAGAGAGTTTGCGTACATGTCCACGGCGCATTTCCATACCTTTACATCGAATACAATGGGTCCTTAGCGCCGGAAGATGGTTAGTGATAGTCATATTGATGATCTGATAGGTCGACTTACCAAAATTTAGTAAACTCGGCAATCCGAACTCTTCATCTTTCAATCGATCATGCTCTGGCGGTCAGTTTTCGCCGAAATGCATATGACCGGAGGACAGCGTTTGTGGCGCACATCACCTTGGTGAAAGGAGTCCCGTTCTACGGATACCATGTCGGATGGCGCTTCTTCTTCAAAATTTATCTCTTAAACCCCTTCCATACAACTCGTCTGGTCGATCTTCTGCACCAGGGAGCTGTGATGAAGCGTCCACTTCAACCCTATGAGGCACATGTGCAATACATCCCGCAATGGATGTGTGACTACAATTTGTACGGATGTGCAACTATGAGCTGCAGTCAAGTCAAATTCCGAGCACCCGTACCTGAGTATTTCGAGCTCAGCAATCTAGACCATCGCTGGCACGATCGTTCAATCCCACCCGAGAGCATACTCGATCACCCTGCGTTACAAAAACAAAGCCATTGCGCGCTGGAGGTTGATATCTGTATTCAAGATATCCTGAACCGTCTTGATGTAAAGGAACGGCCTTTACACCATGATTTCACCGAGCTTTTGAAACCCGTCGCAGTTAATGAGCGGCTTGTTCCTAGCATGGCTGGACTGTGGCAGGATGAAACTCGCAGGCGCAAAAAGAGAATGGGAATCACTGATCCCGGAAGTACTCCGTTTGGACCCGAGGAATTGATTTCAATGTCTGCGGATTCAAGAGATCAGTCGAGAGGTGGTTGGATACACGAGGAAGAATTTCGTGAAATGGCATCTCAGCTTGCCTCTAATGAGAAACACGAGGATAGCAACAAATATACGACATTTGGAACATTCTTGGATACCGATGATCAAGCCAAAAATGTCAAGACTGCGTTGGATAGTGTCGAAGACTTCTTTCCTGACAAAATCAGTACTTTGACTTTTGATAACAGCCGTTCCCAGGAATCAGCTGACCAAAAAGTACCGGAAATTTCAGTTGATGAAAGTCTCGCTCTGTCTTCTCAAGCCGACAGACAGTATTACTCGGATTCTGATCAAGGAGAGAGCTTATCGGAAGGGAGAACCGAAGATGTCTCCGGAACGAAAGAGGACCTATTGGGTGATAGCTTTTACGATGAGGTTTTTGACGAATTGCCCTTTCCAGATGTGGCTGCACCTGCGGAGCCTGCTGAAACCAGCAAACCGAAAGCGACCATGGATGTTGTCTACAAGGAAGAAGATTCCGTAGCCCAAGGAAAAAGGCCTAGAGACCAGAGTCAAAGCAGAAGTATGGCCCCAAAAAGACAACACTTCGAAGCTCTCGATCTCAACCATTTGTCTACCAAAAGACCTAGACATATGGTCACACACGGCTTGTCTGAGGGGCTATTGGAACCACCCAACACGCGAAAGCATCAGCAAGATGACAAACAAAAAAGTGTTTCCTTTGATAGCAATTTGGATTCGCACGCGGAAACCTCGTTATCAGAACCCAAATCATCTTCCTCGCAGAGGACAGTCCGTCCAAAGGCGCATAGTTACACCAGCGGCCTGAAATTCCCGGTAGTCAAGGACCCCAATGATCCTCTGACCATTATGCGTTACAGCCAAGATGAGGCAAATTTTTTAAGAAAAGACTCCAAGTCATCTCAGCACCTCTTGAGTTCTTTCCCTTCCGGAACTGGCATGGAAATGTCAGGCAAAACCAGTGAAAATCAGAGTTCTTCAGAGCTACATTCGTCTGCAACAGTGATGGGTCCAGTCTCTCTCGATCCACATCTCGCTGAGACCATGAAAAACCTCCATCAGTCATTCAATTTTAGACCAAACACGTCATTGCGTTGCTTCAAGTTTTCCAGCCCAACTCCCAGCGAAGTCAGTTCAACAATAAATGAACATGGGCGTCCCTCGGTTGTATACCAGAAAGCATTTTACAGTGATGAAACGGATGTGCCTGAACGACCAAGAGAATATGGTGGCAAAGAATTCCGGCTAGAGAGCAATACCATTCACTATCTACCCGAATTTGACCCAACAGCAGAGGCACCTGCAATGTTTGGTGAGCAGATACCAACAGCACACGACCGACATCGTCAAGAAAAGGCTGATCAGCGCCTCCGAGAAGGGTGTACCGCCAGGGTCTGGGAGTTTGCACCTGTTCCGCCAAGCCGGTCGGAAGTCATACAGTGGTTTGAAGAGTTAGAAGCCCCACAAGCATCCAACCAAAAAGCAACCCAAAACGTACCTGCCGAAAAATCCAACTTTCTCTCGCAGATCGAGGGCCCAACACAGAAGAATTTACATGGCTTCAAATACTCGCAGAATGGAGTGTCCACTAGCGTGGAACACCAGGCTCAACACATGAGCACGATGAGCCTAGAAGTGCATGTGAACACGCGCGGAACCCTCATGGCGAACCCCGAGGAGGACGAGATCACTTGCATGTTCTGGTGCATCCAATCCGAAGATGAGGATCTTGAGGTCAACAGTCATCTTCCCGGAGTTCATGTTGGGATGGTTTACCATGGCGAAGGCGATAGGCCAGAAGCCAAAATCTCCAAGGCATTAACGATTGATGTCGAGCACGAGCCTACGGAACTGGACCTAATAAACCGACTCATAGACCTTGTCCGGTACCACGATCCGGACATCATCACGGGGTACGAGGTGCACAATGCTTCCTGGGGATATGTGATTGAGCGAGCGCGCAAGAAGTACGACTTTGACATCTGCGAGGAGCTTTCCAGGACCAATTACCAATCTAATGGACGATTTGGGAAAGAGGCAGATCAGTGGGGATTCAACCACTCGTCGTCCGTTCACATCACTGGGCGACACATGTTCAATATCTGGCGCGCCATGAAAGGCGAGCTGAGCTTGCTACAGTACACCATGGAGAACGTTGTCTTTCATGTCTTGCATCGCCGAATTCCTCATTATTCCCCCAAAGACCTGACGCAATGGCACCAAAGCGGCAAGCCTCGCAATATCCTCAAAATCGTGGAATATTTCAGCTCTCGTGTGCAAATGAATCTGGAAATTCTCGAAGCCAATGAACTGGCACCAAGGACAAGCGAGCAGGCGAGATTGCTAGGCATTGATTTTGCCTCTGTGATTTCCCGTGGATCCCAGTTCAAAGTTGAGTCCCTGATGTTCCGAATTGCGAAGCCAGAGAACTTCCTGCTCGTCTCACCAAGCAGAAAGCAGGTCGGACAGCAGAACGCATTAGAATGCTTGCCACTGGTCATGGAACCGCAAAGTGACTTCTACACGAGCCCACTTCTAGTGCTTGATTTCCAATCACTATACCCCAGTGTCATGATCGCGTACAATTACTGCTACTCAACCTTCCTGGGCAGAGCCATGCACTGGCGTGGGCGAGATAAGATGGGATTCATGGATTACAAGCGACAACCCCGCCTGCTCGAGTTACTAAAAGACAAGATCAACATCGCACCAAACGGTATGATGTATGCAAAGCAGGAAGCGCGTCAGTCCCTGCTAGCCAAGATGCTTTCCGAAATCCTCGAAACCCGCGTGATGGTTAAAAGCGGTATGAAGGCCGACAAAGACGACAAGGTCTTACAGCGACTCCTGAACAACAGACAGCTAGCGCTGAAGCTAATTGCAAACGTCACATATGGCTACACCTCCGCCTCATTCTCAGGCCGAATGCCCTGTTCTGAGATCGCCGACAGCATCGTCCAAACCGGACGAGAAACCCTCGAAAAAGCCATCGCCTTCATCCACTCCATCGAACGCTGGGGTGCCGAAGTTGTCTACGGCGACACAGACAGCCTATTCGTGTACCTAAAAGGACGCACCCGCGACCAAGCCTTCGACATCGGCGAAGAAATCGCCGAAGCAGTAACAAACCTAAACCCTCGACCCATCAAACTAAAATTCGAAAAAGTCTACCACCCCTGCATCCTCCTCGCGAAGAAACGGTACGTAGGCTTCAAATACGAACACCGGAACCAAAAAGAACCCGAATTCGACGCAAAGGGAATTGAAACCGTCCGTCGAGACGGTACACCCGCCGAACAAAAAATAGAAGAAAAAGCCCTCAAAACACTCTTCCGCACCGCAGACCTTTCCCAGGTAAAATCCTATTTCCAGCGCCAATGCGCAAAAATCATGCAAGGTCGCATTTCTATTCAAGATTTCTGCTTCGCACGCGAAGTCAGACTGGGAACGTATTCCGAGCGTGGTGCTCTCCCCGCCGGTGCGATGATCAGTACAAAGCGCATGATGGAGGATCCGCGTTCGGAACCGCAGACCGGTGAGCGCGTTCCGTATGTTGTTGTTACCGGCGCGCCTGGGTCGAGACTTGTTGATCGATGTGTTGCGCCGCAGATGCTTTTGCATGATGCGCAGCTTGAGATTGATGCTGAGTACTATATCACGAAGAATATTATTCCGCCGCTAGAGAGGATTTTTAATCTTGTTGGTGCGAATGTTCGTCAGTGGTATGATGAGATGCCGAAGGTGCAGCGGATTCGACGAGTTGAGGGGTCGGTGCTGAGGCCGAATTCTGGGGTTGGGGTTAGTCGGAAGACTCTTGAGTCTTATATGCGCTCGTCGTCGTGTGTTGTTTGTCGGGCGAAATTGTCCGATGCTGCTGTGTCTGTGTGTGGGGATTGTCTGCAGAAGCCGCATCTTACGTTGCTGGATGTTGTTTCGCGGTTGCGGAGGGCGGAGAAGAGAGTGGTTGATCTGGAAGCTATTTGTCGCTCTTGCATGAGTGTTTCTCCTGGTGATGAGGTTAGTTGTGATAGTTTGGATTGCTCTGTCTTCTACTCGAGGACTAGAGATGCTGCTAATTGGAGACACTCCAAGGCTGTATTGGAGCCTGTTGTTGAATTGTTGGAACGGAAGGGGGATGAGGGATTGAATTGGTAGTCTTTTAGATACTTGTTTTGAAGCAATTGGTTTGACTTGGATATACCCCAGACTTTGTTAATGTTTAGTTCTACAAATTGGATAGAATTTGAGCCAGATTCATTCACATCGATACAGACGAGAAGCTCATCACCTAACTATGCCAGACATTTTGGTTGTTTTCCATTTTGATGACCTTTTATCCTTTTTTTTTTCTTTTCTTCTTTTTTTCTTTTCCAAACAGCGAAAGATCAGCTGTTAATCATGTTGATCAAAGCATCAAGCGCCGAAGGCTGCACATCGCCCTCCATTTCCACAATATCCTCCGTTTCAGCCTCCTTCTTTTCAATCTTCTCCCCAGCTTCAGCAGCGCCTATTTCCACGCCTCCCTCGTTCTCATCATCCTCCTCGAAGCACACACCCTTATCCTTGTCTTCGGACTTGGTTTTGGTCTTGTCAATGCGTCGACAAGCAATGAATGCTTGTTCCGGGGGTGCGGAGGCAGAGCCCGCCTCGGCGTTGGGCTTTATGGTCTCATCTACCTCCTTCGGCTTCACCCCTTTGTCCATGCCTTCAACAATCTTGAGGATCTGTCGGTGAGTGTACACCACGCCTTCGCCGATAGGCTTTCCAGAATCGCCGCCCCCTACTCCCTCTGAGGCAGGACCTTGTCGCGCCCGGCCCATCGCAACATCACCGAGGACGTCGGGGAAAATCCAAGGGAAGCTAATGAGTGGAAGCTCAGTTGAGTCTACTTCAACAACGCTAAAATCTTTCCTCTGTAGTTCCTCTTTGCGTCGAGCTTCCAATGCCGTGGCTACCTGCTCCTGGGTAACACGGTACATGGCGACGACCAAGACAGGAATGTTTCCACCATCACGGCCGACTTTGTCGTAACACTGCTGACGAAATCCACGACGGAGTGCACCGACGATTCTGCCTAGGTCTTCCTGCATCTTGTAGTCCTTAATCACAAAACCATGGCGGAGTACAAATGTTGACCACACCTCAAACTCAGTATTGATCTCAAACTGAGCCATGATTTGTCGCAAGTTCATGTCAAATTCTGCCTTGAGCTCGCAGGCGTATTCCATGTAGGCTTCACTTGCTGGAGCTAGCGGGGATTCCAGGATGCGAGAGTCGAAGGGCTTCTCCAGCTTGGGAACGAAGTCGGGAGTGACCACTGCGTCGTACAGTTGACCGAGGATTTTGGTGGACTTGTAAATGCTGGATGGTCTCTTGAACCTCTTCTCCATGAAATGGGGCCAGAATTTGGGATCCAGAGTCCGGGCCATTCTCGCATGCGCACCGCTCTTGTTATAGTCAACTGCATCAGAATGAAGCTGAGCGAGACGGATGCACTTTTCTTCCCACACACCCTTGGTGAGTCTGTCAGCCCAAGCCAAATGGGCGTGTGCAATTCGGGGCAGACAGTCATTCTTCATGTAGGTAACAAAGAATGAAGTTATTTCGTCAACTGTCACTTCGTGGTCAAGATCTGGGGCTTTGGAACCCTTGTAGTCCATACATTCAACGAACCATTTTTCTGGAATCAGATCAGGGTCCCAGATAACGAGGTAGTCATCGCCATCGAGGTCACCCCCAGAGCACATACTTGCAATGTCCTGGTCGCCAGTTTGGGGAAGCACAACCACGTCCCGAAGTGCTTGCAGCTCCGGTTTGTTCACTGCTCGAACCACACGAATATCTCCAGGATGAAGCGAAGGATTGCGAGCAAGAATGCAGAGACCTTCAATGACTTCGTACTCGCCATCTCCATCTAGCCGGCAGATTTGGACAAAGATTTCAGGAAGAGCGGCCAGTTTATCTGCAGAGGAGGCTTTTCTGCACGGCAATGAACTTTTATAGTACCCCTTCAAAACACCTGCCTCGTCCATGACACCGAGAAGGTTGGCTCCTTGGTCTATGACAATCTTTGCTTTCTCTTTGAGATGCTTCAGATGCCAGGATTTCCAAAGCTCGAGCATAGTATTGGCAAAGGGCTCGTCATGTTGTCGGAAGCCATCAGATATCATCTGAGCCAATGTTAGGGTCGTTTGGTTTGGGTCGATATACTTCTGAAGAAGCTGAATTGCTTTGGAATCATTGCACATGGCTCGATGGAAACCACCCAACATGCTTTTGAGTTTGTTGTGGAAGACTTCATCTGAGATATCCAGAGCAGAAAGCACAAGAATTAACTGGCGGTTCAAAGTTGCAAGAGAAAACTGGGACCAACGAATGATCTCCAAACCAGTTTGATTGGTTTCGAACTTTTGTTGGCTTGGCCGAAGGTGTACCTCCTGAGGCAAAGGGTCTGGAGAGACAACCAGCATGCCCTTGGCTCCTCCAAGACGAAACTGGAAGGCCGAAGGTGGGTCTCCAGTGAGCGTCTTAATTTTGTGCTGGGATGTGACCATTTGAGCAAGGAATTTGGAAATCTTTCCCACGCCATCTGAGAACGTGAAGCCGTTACGAATAACGTCATCGCACGGAGCAGTTTGAACAGAGGATCCAGTGAAAGCTCGGGTGGTCGAAAAGCATTGTCCCAGTCTTGCAGCATATTTGGCCACATTTCGGATGTGGTTGAATTGGCCCATCCAGGCCCGGATAGTTGCCGCTGAGACACCGGCATCCGGTGCAAAGAAGTATGCGCCATGCTCGCGGAACTGGGAGTTCCCGAATGCAAGGAACTCGTAGTGACGGTCTCCTATAGTGATACCGTTGGCCAATGTTCTTTTGACACGGGTGTAGATTTCGTTGTTGGAATCACCCAGTGACGCGTTGATGCGACCTTCAGTTCTCTCATCTGTAAATCGAACTCGAAGAAAGCGTCCAGGTGCACCTTTGTTCGACCATTCGCGCACGACTCGATTTGAGATGTCTACAGTTGGGGTATTGTAGTAAATCGTAGTCGGGGTGACTCGTGCTGTGCGCATGAAGCAACAGTAGATCGGAATCTTCGAATCAGTCACTCCCTTAAAAAATTTGAGATCAAAGATTTTCATAGGAGCAAGATACTGTTTCTTCTCAGTTGCAACAAACTCTAGCAGTCTTGTAGCTTGGTCTTCCCCAAGGTCTTTTATTCTCTCTACAAATTCGCGGGTGATGGTGAATTCAGAGAGATATCCCTGGGACAAACAAACCTCCAGTTGATACCGGACTCTGAATGGGAGGTGCAGATAGTTCTGATCGCCCAAGTCTTGCAATAATGCAGAAGCCTTGTTAGACTTGGACTCAGAAAAATCAATCCAATTCCACACTGGTACCGGTCGGTCTGGTTTCTCGATAAAGTGATTACCATCTTGAATGGTGATGTTATAGTCTCTGAAAATCTCAGCGACGTGCATCAAATGGCGATTGTTATCGTCGCAATAGCCCACATCGGGGACCGCATGGGGGACGGATGAGATCTTGAACACGTTCCATCGGCCTACCAAGAAACACTGGTAAGCTTACAGAATTACAATGGATGACGGCACTTACCCAGGTCAATGATATGTCCCGACTTCTTCAAATTTGTGGGGAGCGTCTTTAGTGAGTTTGGGTTATGTGTCACGGACGTCTGGCGGTACCAGCTATCCTCTTCTCTCCAGCTTAACGGCTCGGTCAATGTGGACTGAATGTCTTTGGCCTTTCGATGCCAGATAGCAGCGGAATCTAGAACAATTAAGTAGGAGTGCTGTCTTGCGGGTTTGTAGTATCGTTGATAAATCTGAGACAATTGGATAAAAGGGATTTTGACACGATAGTCATGCTGGGTCACATCTGCAGTCTCTGACCCCCGAATTCCCACTTTGAAGTACAGTACCAAGCACTTTCGCATGACATCAATCACACATCTGGGGTACGCCAGGTTGTTGAAGCTTTGCATATAATGCACAGCGGACCGACCTAGGAGGATACCGATGTCGACTTGTACAATTTGTAATTCCTTCGCAATAACCATCAGTATTTGAAATTAATCTCATAGAATTCATTTACCGACCAATTCACCTGGGAGCTGAACACATGGACGGACTGGGCTCGGAATCATCCCGTTTGAGTCACCACAACAGATACTGAGCGATATCACTGCAACACGGCCACTCCGGAGCCTCACGCCGAAAGAGCCGGTTCTCCAGAAGTCATCGTTTGGAGAGGGTCTGTGGATGATCAGAAAACAGCATTTAAGCAACATGGTGAATTGATGGGGTGCCCACCTGAAACGAATGCGTGCTCTCGAATCAGGACGTCCCACGGCATCCTCCCAAATGTCAATGGAAATCAGATTCCCATACTGATGAAAGGCCTCGTAGATGTCATGCGTGTTCATCTCTCTTGGAATATTAAGCAAGTCCACCGCACAAGTTTTCCAGGATCTCCAGCTTATCCAGGTCTGGACTGGCGAGAAACGAGAAGGACCACGAGGAGAGCGATGAGGGTCAGGAGGATCCATCCTCAAAACGTTGGACTTTGGGTGTTGCAAACTTGGAAGATCAGGGCCGGCCATCGTGGTAAGACAAGAAAGCTTATGTGTTAAGAGGTTGAGGAGAGGAAGAAGAAGAAGAAGAAGAAGAAGAAGAAGAAGAAGAAGAAGAAGAAGAAGAAGAAGAAGAAGGGCGGATGGATTCTATAGGAAGGAATTGACACAGAAGGCAAAGAAAACAAACGGAAGGTGAGAAATTAGGAAAGAGCGACCTCTCAAGGGTGTCGACTGTGGAAGGCACAGAAACGGATTTAAAAGAAGGGGCGATCCTCTTCAAGTACTAATGAACTGAATGTCGAATGAGATATAGTAGACATGGCATGTGAGAGCTCACCCGATCAAGTCTGAATTAAGTCTAAGTGAGAATAAGCAGGCTTAAATGCAGCAAACATTTACTTACGCATTGGTCATATGCAGACTATTGCTGCCATATCCTTCTTTTCAAGAACGAGTTGGACGTGAAGCTAAGAGGTCTTCCTATGTATAGTTCAATTCGTTAGACACAACTACTCTTCAAGACGACCATTTCTGACGTAACCACCTAGATTGGTAGTTATATCTTCGTTTAAGGATAGATTAGCCACACGAAAGTGACATCGTAATAGGGGATAGATTACTTACTGCTTTTAAAAAGCTGAAGAGGTAGTGAAGCCAAACATGTGTAGTGCTTTCTGTATACATTGAGCAAGTTCGATGTTGGCAAATGTCGGGGAAGATGAATAAAAAGCAGATATGGATATTCTATGCCCCAGAGGGTACAAGCGAATACATCACCGTCTAGGCCGAAGAGACGAAGACAGTGAATAATCTGAGGGACAATGGAATGAAGGAATGAAATAACATACTCCAAAGCTTTAAAGAATTGTCTTGAGATAGCGGCAGATAATATAGGCTTTTGAGCAGTGATGGCAGTAATGATGCCTTCAAATAATCGAAGACTACAGTCAAGGCAGTTGGGTTTTCTAAGATTGTGTAGATTATTTACTACGTAGGAATGTGCAACTAAGTATAACACATTCAATATCACATTAAAAGACATATCAAAAGACAATTTGAAAGGCAACTCGAAAGACACTTCAAAAGGTGCTTCAAAAGAAAACTCGAATGACACATCGGAAGACAGATCAAAAGAGACACCAAAATACAAACTGAAAGAAACATCGAATGATACAGCGAAACGCGCATTGAATACAATATCAAATAACACATAGGAAAACAAGAGATCTGATAGACATGATTCAATTATCCAAGAAATATGTACATAGTCACACTCCATTACCACCTTAACAACCCTCTCACTGCGGAGCAATCTGATCCGTCGACCCCGTAAAAGCCGTACTCGAAAAGAGAAAGTCCCTAGAAAACTCCAGATCCATATCCAAATCCAAATCCTGCAACCTATTCTCCTCAAAGTTCCCCTGATCCTGCGTCTCCTGGAAGGAGTCATCCAGTTGATTTCGTTTCGAGCCACTGCTAGACTGTGATTTCGTCGGGCTGTTGCGGTGAGTCTCTGCTAGTGGTTTTCTCACAGAACGAGATATGCCGGTGGCCGGCGGTGGGGTTTTCGTCTTGCGACCTGTAGCAGGAGAAGTATTCAGGTCATAAGGCGATTTGCGATTCCCTCTTGGTCGTTTTGGAGTAGGACCATTGAAGTTGGAAGTCATAGACTCAAAGGGCTGCGCTGACTGTGTGTTATCTTCATCATCACTTATGGTTTGTGGGGTCCTTGCAGCTGGAGTGGTGTTGACGGAGGACCTGGTTCGTTGGTGGGTTGGAGGGGCGTTTGACTCAGGGGCGTTAGCAGAGAAACCCATCACGCCCATTAGACGACCGATGTGTTGTTGTGCTTCTGAGAACTCGCGGGCCTTGGCAGCACGTTCGTCTCGTAAGGCTTGCACCTAAGTTTAGTGTTAGAATGTGTGGATTTTGCGGATTTTGCATATATGGGTGGTATTAATTACTTTTCTCTCCAGGTGGTGGATCCGTTTGTCTTTTGATTGCGCATCTCTGGAAGCATCAAGCGCGGCAGCTTGCATAGCTGCATGCAATCGCCGATTTTCTGTCTCGTGCTTCGCCATCTAAAAATGTGGATACATGATCAGTTTCATTCATACACAGATTTAGTGCATGCGTAGACATACCTCAGATGCGGCCCGAGAAGCTTCCGCTTCATGGTCATGTTTCAGCCTTTCAATCTCACTGTGCGACTTTCCCTCAGATTCTTCCAATGCAGAATAGAGCCTTTCAACTTCAATATTCTGTTGTGCAACCTGGAAAGAGTCAGTATAATCCAATTCGTAATGATTGATGCCAGCAAACTCACCGTTGCTTCCATGGACCCCAGTTGCTTTCGCAACTCCTCCTCCTGGGCCAGGAGGCGTTTCACTTCATCTTCTTTCTCATCAGCAAGAAGTCTGGTCTGCTTCAATGTCTCTGTAGCACTAGCAAGCTCTTGCTTTAGAGAGCTAGAGAGTTCAGATAACGTAGCCTTTTCGCTCGATACTTGATCGAGACTCTGGCGCATCTGCTCATTCTTCATTTGTAAGCTGCACATCTCCTGCTGAAGCTCTTCCAGTTGATCATCCTTTTCAGTTAAAGTAGCCATCATTTCCAATTCCTTAGAGCGGGCCTTCTCTTTTTCAACAAGAAGTGCCTTTTCGGAACTCCGCTGCTGCTGCTGGAGTTCCTCGCGTGCAGATTCGAGCGACATAGTCAGCTCGTCGGTGTATGCACATTGACCTTGAAGGAGTTGTTCAAGACGTGTGTTCTCGTGACCAGCTTCAACAAAACATTCGGATAAGCCCCCTGACTTAGTTTCAAGCTCTGTATTTTGGGTTTTCAGTTGCTCGTTTTCGCTCGCATATCTGTCCCGTTCTTCTTCAGCAGCTCGCAAGGGCCCTTCGACATCGTGACAGCGACTCTCTAGGTCGAAGCACATATCCTCAATCTTTCTCATCATACTGTCGTGAGAGGTCTGGGCATTCTGCATAAAGAGTTCGGTAACTCCAGAGCGCCAGTCACGGTTGATCTGACTAGACGAGATGTCATGTCTGTCGCGCAAAGCAAGGGAGCCACGGAAGGCTTTGGGGGTTGTTGTTGAGAAGGCACACTCGAGGCTCGGCATTGATTGCTCCACTCGTCCCATGAAGGATTTCATGAGGATGTCGCTTCCGTTTTGCGCCGAAACCATGTTGTAAAGTTTTAATAGAGATAGGAACAGCTTGTTTTGCTTTGTGTATAGCTCAGATCCACACCATGCTCCGCCACTGCATTGGCTTTCGCTTGGCTGTCGGGGAAAGTATTCAACCATCTCCCCAAGAGCTTCCCTCAGTGGGGCCATGGAGTTGTTGACATTAGAAAATATGAGCTCGGGATGTACTCTTTGCACACCAGCTAATACGAAGTGTGCCTGGTTCAGTGCTGCGAGCTGTCCCATCCCCAACCATTTATTACCCCTTAAGACATCGAAAGTATAGGTCAAAAGTTGACGAGTGGCAGGTTCCCCAGATTCCTGTTGGTGTCAGCTTTCAAGAGTTGCCCACGGACAGGAGCTCTTATACTTACAGCTAAAGACTTTGCGAGGCGTGGAATTAGTTGATGGGGTATCTTTTCCATAGTCTCTTGGCTGTTCTCGGACAAAAGGATCTTTATGCCAAGTTCCCGTAGCTGGGATGGCAACGAATGTGCCGGGAGAAGTGTGTGCAAAAACACGATTACCTATTATCAAGGAATTAGCATTTCGTCTCGATACGCAAGATAGGCACAACTAACCATCGTTTGTGTTTGACCATAGAGACCATCTCTAACAGCCTTCTCGCACAGCTTAGCAATCTTAGGCTTATTACCTGCCATCCAGGCCTGCTTCTGCTCAGGCTCAATTGCGTCAGCAATGCAAATGGCCAGCTGAATACTCTCAGCCGCCTGGGGTGGTGCCAAGTTACAACTGGACGAGCAAGCGAGTATCACACGCAAGACAACCAAGTCGAGTGTTTTGAGCCCCCGTTTCTGGCCAAAGAAATGTTTAATGCTAAGAAGCCATGACGCTTCTGATCCGTGTTGATTTTGAGATGCTGTATTTAGTGCGGTCGCGATTTGTGCAAAAGTTGCCAGACATAAGAGATTGCCCATATGATCGTCCAAGTTGCGCAGTGTCTTGGTGAACTCCAGCTGAAGATTGGACATGACCTCGGATGAAATATCATTCAAGATCCGTGGCGAGCCCTTGAGTCCTGAGATAAGTGCGTGGAGAGGTGCTACAGTCTCAACGCAGGGATTCTCTGCCATCATGCTGACCAGCTTCGTGATGAAGGGGGCAATCTTGGCTGGTGGCACAACATCCGCTGGCAGGGGCGATGAGAATAATGCGATACATGCCGGGAAATACTGAAATAGTTAGCTGATGCGCTTTAGCTCGCATTTGTTAGCTCCAAGGAATAAAGCTCACCTCAGTCCCATTAGTCTCCAGGGCCTTTTCTAGAAAGGCATCCAAAATGACCGAATGTCGCTCGAGCAGCGCATCTCTAAAGGACGGTGTAGATGCTGGAACATGTCAGACTCGAGTCCCAATAAGACTTTCATTGAGTACAAACCGAATGCCGTGATCAAAGACAGAGCGACGCGTGATCGCGATAAGGCTTCGATCAAAACATCAGCCAACAAGCCAACTTGGCAGGGCTTAGATAATGCCCAGGCGCCAACTGTTGAAGATCGGCTTTGGGATACCAGATCATGGAGGTCCTGCACGGGTATTATTAGCATGTATACTCTAATGCCAGTCTCGGCCGACTTACCTGTAACGAAGGCACGTAAGGCGCCGTGACTAGGCGCTCTACCTCGCGCACTAATTGAGCGAGTTGCCCTGCCATTTCAAAATTGCATCGGTGTTAATTTGGTGGATCTGTTAGTACGCGATACAGTCTGACAAAGTAAATGTCGACGTGTACGAGGTTCTCCCCTTCGTTGCCCCGTCAACCATTTACATCTTCACTTTTCTACTTGCTCTTTAAATTACCACATTTTACACTTTTATAACCATCTATATCCTATTTTCTGCTAATTCTTCTCTTTCTATTTTTCTAGCTACAACACCAATAAGGGGGTGAAGTATCTTAAATAAAAAAAGTATATAAAAAGACTACTAAAAGGGATATCAAAAAGAAATGACCAGGTCATATAAGCCGACTATTCTTAGTTACTTGAAAGGGTGTCAAGTTGCGAGCATAACGTCCATATATAAGTTCCGCTATAAAAAAAAAAAGAAAAAAGCCCGGAGTTCTCGCCCGACTCCGTCCTTCGTCCTCCACGGCTATATTATTCGCCCCCACGTTCGGCATCTCCACAATTTCGGCAATGGCAGGCCTGAGATGGCCTGAGGGCGGAATTACAGTGGGATTCAACAGGGATTATAGTGGTTTATAGTACTATATTACAGTGGGGTGTGGAATTTTAAGGGACCAGGCTCCGGCTATGAGTCCGAAGAACGATCCCCTCAGCTTTCTCGGCCGAAGTCCGACACTACAAAAACCCGGTCACATCATGCCGGTCCGCAATATCGACATTTCCATTTCCCTTTTAACGACTTCCTGTTTCTCTTTGAGCTTCAATTCTTATAAGCTCTCTATATAATTATTCACTATGCGACCAGTTCTCCGGGTCTCACGAGCCCTACCGGCTCCGATATGTCGGCCTCAGGTCTCGCGCACTATTCTGTCGCGCGGTGCTAGATCGAATAGCTCCAATGCCGGGAAAACAGAGAACACAGAGAACACAAAACAGAGCAATTCCTCAAATGCTCCCCCTTCACCCTTTTGGACTCCGGCCAAGGCCCTTCTCGTCTCCGCATTTGCTGCGGGGGTAGGCTACGGCGTCTCCTCATATACACAAACATCCACACAGACACCCAAGACGCCTCAATATGGTTCAGTGAAGGACTTCGAAAAGGTAAATCCCTCATAATCTCACACCAGTCCATGTCCATCGCTAACAAACCCCCCCCCCCCCAGGCCATCAACGAGCTAAGAACCAAGCTCGGCGAAGATTCAATCGGCACCGACGAAGATGAACTCCACTCACATGGCTTCTCAGAATGGTCCAGCTTAAACGCCGACCGTCTCCCCGTCGCAATTGCATACCCCAAGTCCACCCAAGAAGTCTCCGAGATCGCCAAGATATGCCACAAATACCGCATGCCGATGATCCCCTACTCCGGCGGATCAAGCCTGGAAGCCAATTTCTCCGCCCCGCACGGCGGCATGACAATCGACTTCGCTTTCATGAACAAGATTCTCGAAATCCACCCAGACGACATGGACATCGTCGTCCAGCCCTCCATCCAGTGGATGGATCTGAACGAGCAGATCAAGGACACGGGAATGTTCTTCCCCGTCGACCCAGGCCCATCCGCCATGATCGGCGGTATGGTCGGGACTAACTGCTCCGGCACTAATGCCGTCCGCTACGGTACCATGAAGGATTGGGTGATTAACCTCACGGTCGTTCTGGCTGATGGTCGCATCATCAAGACCCGTAGACGTCCCCGCAAGACTTCCGCTGGATACAATTTGACCGGCATGTTTGTTGGCTCCGAGGGTACGCTTGGTATTGTCACAGAGGCTACCTTGAAGCTCGCACCGCTTCCGGAGTTGACTCGCGTTGGTGTTGTCGCGTTCCCGACTATTCGGGACGCGGCCTCGACTGCTATGCAGCTCATTCGCAAGGGTGTCTCAGTGCAGTGTATGGAGATCATGGATGATGTCCAGATGGACGTTATTAACCGCGCCGGTGGAACTGGCCGTGAATGGAAGGTCTCGCCTACGCTGTTCTTCAAGTTCTCTGGAACTGTCGCCGGTGTCGCGGATAGCATTGATCTGACGACTAAGATCGCGAAGGGTAACAATGCGCAGACTTTCGAGTTCGCTCGCGATGACCGCGAAGCTCATGACCTGTGGTCTGCGCGCAAGCAGTCGTTGTGGAGTATGATGGCGCTCCGTAAGGAGGGATCAGAGGTGTGGTCGACTGATGTGGCTGTGCCTATCTCTCGACTGCCTGATATCATTGGTATGACCTTCAAAAAAGCCTTACTTGCATTTATACTAACACTGACCCCTGCAGAAATCTCTAAGAAAGAATTGGTCGACCTGGGCCTTTTCGCCAGTATCCTTGGCCATATTGGCGATGGAAACTTCCACGCAAGCATTATGTACGACCGCAACGATCCTGCCGAGCGGGCGCGTGTCGAGAAAGTAGTGTACGATATGGTTGATCGTGGACTGGAGATGGAGGGCTCGTGCACGGTAAGTCGTTCATTTTGGAGATACAAGAATATCATCTAATTCAGTATAGGGCGAGCACGGCATTGGGCTGGGCAAGAAGGGATCTTTGAAAAAGGAAGTTGGACCGGAGACAATTAATGTCATGCGCAGTATCAAGCGCTCATTGGATCCGCGCTGGCTGCTGAACCCTGGCAAGATCTTCGATTACGATGACGAGACACCGGGCCCTGGACATTGATTGTGATTTAGCGTCGTATACATTATATATGAACAAAGTTCCAGATTTCTAGTGAAATGGTGCAAAGAGTAGAATTTCATTGTCCTGGCGGTGATGGTTGCTCAGAGCCCATGACCTGAAAGTAGCGCTCGAAGAGAGTCGCACTCCACTGACAGCCAGTGCCTGAGCTCGGTATATCTGCAGGTTCACTGGCTGGTCCCATGCGAGATGAACTGTCGATAGCTGTCGGAGCAGCCGCGGCAGCATTCGCCAACGCCCACATACGTGGAAGGTGCTCTTGGGCTTCTGATTGAATTCTCGGCACCTCAGAAAGACAGTTCGGGATTATAGGTTCCAACTCGCCTGGAGAAGAGCGGGAAGAACTCGTATCGTTTTCTCTTTGCCGCTTTAATGTTCCTAGACCAAGCTGCTGTGGTGATTTTGTAGCCATGGTGTGTGATTCTTCGAAGCCGCTGTCGTTATCTGGTGATGCACCCCATTGGGATGGATTGATCTGTATCATGTCCCGAGAAAATAGAGCCTTCGTGCGGAGTTCCTCGATATTCTCCCAGCGGTGATCACGTCGGGAATCACCGTCCATCTTCAAGTAATCGTATGTCTCATTGACCGTTTGCCATGTTGAATCCAACAACTCCCCTTTTGGGGCCAGAGAAAGATTGATGAGGAGACATGTCAAGGCATCCCACTCGATGTGGCTTTGGAGACTCCAGAGCCACTGTCTACACTTTTCATGGCGTTTCAAAGCTGTAGTTTTCTGCAGAATCTCCGTGCAAACCTTTCGGAAGTTCACATGGGTGAGCATAGACTGGTCTTGTCTCGCTCGGGGTTTGATCACTGCCAATTTGAGCTTTGCAATTATAAGATTGCTGGAGATAGTTGTAAAATAGTCTAGCGCAATACTTTGATCTAGATGCGATAAGTATTGCTGTTCGACTTTCTCTTTGAAAAGATCTATCGCTGTGGATTTCTGCGAAGCTGATAAAACCGGGTAGCAGTTTTCTTCGCAAAACTGGTCAGAGAAGATAGTTCGGCGGGAAAAACTGCTGATCTCAGATCTTGTGAGACTCAAGATCATCTCTCTTTTCCCGCTGCAGTTTTGAGGCGGTTCCTTCATATCAGGGTCGAGACTTGCATCGCTCACATTCAAAGGGCGTTTTGTGTCGAACCATGACTCCAGAATACGCGGGGTTGTGCCACAGTCCTCTGCAATATTAATATCGAGAATATATATCTGCCACCAGAGTCGACGCCGTATTTCGACTTGAAAGGGTGGTAGTCCTGAAGCAGATTGATCGCGGTGCAGGCCGATCTTGAGCGCAATTCCAATGGCATTCGCGAGAAACTTCCTAATCTCTGTTCCTTCATCATAACACCTGCTGCAGGCCTAAAGCAATTGTCAGATAATATCAGATATCTTTTTGTGTCAGTATCACGTACGATGTATATGACAAAGGCTTGGAGGACGGTCATGTCCGATGATTTCAATAGATCGGCTTTTTCGAGAGAGACTTCAACTCCGGTGCGATATCTTGAAATATTAGCGGGATGACTTATGGTTTTCAATCAGATGCATACCTCTTCAATGCTCCGTGTTTGTCTTCATCAAGCTCAACACGACAATCTTCCACCGTCATTGTTGCAACAGCAGCATAACAAATGGTGGATATCAAACACTCCGTGGGTGCTCCAAGCGTCTCTCGAAATTGGGTGTTATTCAATATCTGTCTCTGGACCGTTGGTGCATGTAGGATTTTGAGCATTGGCTCCACGTTCTCCAAATACTTCTGCCATAGGAAAGATACCAGAAGACGGGGAGGCCGAAAATATTCGAGCACAGAAGTCGGGAGAGATTTGAATAAAGATGGACTTTGATTCAGACCCCTTTCATTGTGACTATGGCTTTCATGGGACTGGTGCATTGGGTCATGGCCATGACTTCCACCAACGGATGGCGAAGAAGATCGAGTCTGCAAAAGCCCCTGGAGTTGAGAGAGACGTTGCTGGAAACAATCTAATGTACGCTCAATTCTTTCGATGCGGACTACCAGATGATCGCCAGCTTTATTGCTTTGGGTAACGGTAGGTTCCGCTCTTGGGGGCGCGTAGCTGCATTTTATCTTGACTTTGACGCAGTACGAGCAAGGCAGCGATCTGTCGCATTTGATTTTTCGTCGGCGACACTCAAGACAAGAGCGCACTATGGCGGGAGGTGGATAAAGCATTGACTCGAGATCTTGCTCGGGGCTGTAATAATGACTGGGGAATTGCGAGGGTGTAAATCACAACATGATCAAGTTGATACGAGGTTGTGAGCTGATTGGTTAGGGCGGAGCGACGGAGGCCCCAGTCCGCATTTCTAAGCGTAAGACCGGCTGGCACTTCGGAGACGGAGTAGATCGCATCATATTATTTTCCTTTGAGAAATTGCTTCGGAGTAATTATGGGCATTGTTTGATTGGGTGAAGCAGAGGAGCGGACAGAAGATCCGTATTGTGCTAGGCAGCATTTGCATACACAGTCCGTGATATGAAATCAATATCAGATAGAGAAAGGGAAATAGCACAGGACTAAAACATATAAAGATGACATTCCATCTTCGGTGCTGAATATTTCTCAAGCACGAAAGCACAAGTATTTCCATCCAAGATTAGGACTTCATTTACAGCGCAACAACCCAAAATGGCCTCATACTCGAAGAAAGTTGCAATTATCGGTGTATGTCGACTCCATGCTCAGAGTATACATATTTCCTCAGCTAACAACTTGGCAGGCCAGTGGAAACATTGGCAAAATCATCCTCGATGGCCTTGTTGCATCTTCCCAATTCAAAATTACCGTCATCTCCCGCAAGGAGAGCGAGGCGACTTTCCCACCCGGTGTAGCTGTTCTCAACACCGAATACTCAGACAAAGGTCTCGAGGCTGTATTCAAGGGCCAAGACGTCGTCATTTCGGCTGTGGGTGCCAACGCATTTGGCGAGCAGAAGAAATTCGTCGATGCTGCCATCCGCGCAGGTGTCAATCGTTTCATCCCATCTGAGTTCTCGGCAAACAGCCAGAACGATGCTGTGGTGCAGTTGCTGCCAATATTCGGACAGAAGAAGGAACTCGTCGAGTACCTCAAAAGTAAGGAGGCCGACGGGTTGACCTGGACTGGTATTGCTTCTTCCGGTTTGTTTGACTGGGTAAGTCTTCCATCGCAAATTGAAATTCCTAGGCTTGAGTTAATCAGTGAGTTTTGAATAGGGTCTTGCAAACGGGTTTCTGGAATTTGACATTGCCAGTCATACGGCTACTATCTGGGATGGAGGCAACAAGAGTTTCACCCTAACAAATCAGAAGGCCCTCGGTGAGGCAGTTGCCTCTGTTCTACTGCATCCTGATGAAACTAGAAACCAGTTTCTGTTCATTGCCTCGGTTGAAACCACTCAAAAAGACATCCTTGCTGCTTTGGAGGAGGAGTCGGGAGTTGAATGGACCGTAAACGAGACTACCACCGACGTTCAAGTCAACGAGGCAGTCAAGAGGCTTGCTGTCGGGGACTTTAATGGTGCTTTTGCTCTGGTTCGAGCCACTGTTTTTGGCAACACCCCGGGGCTCCATTCAAACTATGCCAAAGAGAAGGATCTGGCAAATAATGTGTTGGGACTTCACTTGGAAACTGTTAGCGATATTGTCAAGCGTGTGCTTAATGAATAGGTCAAAGGTCGAGGCATATCACAGGGCACTTTCTGATGGCCTTTTTGACATTCCATGGATACATGACGTTCCATAGAAAGAAATGCAAACGAGCCAAATCTCGGGAGATTAAACTTTGACCAACGACCCACATATTTTGGCCAATCGGGGAGTCGTGTTTTTGTCCGAACGCAGAAGCTGACATAATCGCGGGGCAAGGCAATTGGCTGAGAGCGATATCGCTGTCGCGGTGAATGCTACAAGCCTTCAACCCCATCACCAGCGAAGCGGTAAGTACAATTGTTGTTTTTTATTGATTTTTTGCTATGCCAATCCCCTGGAACTCTAACCCATGTGGTCTGTGAGGCATCGAAGCTAGCAGAGCCTCCGATATACTGCATGCGGGGCTCTGGAAACGCTTTGACTCATACAGGCCTCTGGTGGTATATGACCCAATTGGCATGGAGCAGTTGTTCTTTTGTATATATGTTGATTGATTGCTAGTTTTGACTTGTTGGAACTTTTGATTTGCTAACTTACACAAGATATAAAACTCAAAAGCAAAATGGCTCCTGAATTCCCAAAGAAGAAGTGCGGTACGTTGTCAAATGTTAAAAGTTATCTTATGCATCATTCAATCCTAACATGTCGCAGGTGTTCTCGGTGCCACTGGTTCCGTGGGCCAGCGCTTCATCCTACTGCTGGCAGACCACCCCTTCCTCGAGCTTCACGCTGTGGGTGCTTCTGAGCGTTCAGCCAACAAGAAGTACAAGGATGCCGTGAACTGGAAGCAAGCTTCCCCCATGTCTGAGAAGCTCAGCAACCTGGTTATGCGTGACTGCACACCCGAACAGTTCTCGGATTGTGACCTTGTCTTCTCTGGACTGAACAGCGATATTGCTGGCGAGACTGGTATGTATTACCAGATGTATCAGATTTAACAAATAACCCATGTACTGACATTTCATGCAGAAATGGCATTCATTAAGGCTGAGATCCCTGTCTTCTCAAACGCAAAGAACTTCCGCAAGGACCCCATTGTGCCTCTGGTGGTTCCTACTGTGAACCCCCAACATCTGGATTTGATTCCTCACCAGCGCGAGAAGTACGGTCTCAAGAAGGGCTTCCTGGTCTGCAACTCCAACTGCGCTGTTATTGGCATCGTCATCCCCTTCGCAGCTCTCCAGGCCAAGTTTGGCCCTGTCGAGGAAGTCGAGGTTTTCACTGAGCAGGCCGTCTCCGGAGCTGGCTACCCCGGTGTACCTACCATGGACATCCTGGACAACGTCATCCCCTACATCAGCGGCGAGGAGGACAAGCTTGAGAACGAAGCCCAAAAGATTCTGGGTACATTGAATGCCAGCGCCACTGGTTTCGATGAGCAGACTGGTCTCCGCATCGGTGCCACTTGCACCCGTGTTGGTGTCACTGACGGCCACATGGCATTCGTCTCCTTGCGTTTCAAGAACCGCCAGACCCCCACCGCCGAGCAGGTCAAGGAGGCTCTGCGGGAGTACAAGTCCGAAGCACAGAAGTTGGGTGCTCCTTCCGCACCAGAACCCGCGATTAAGGTGTTCGATGAGCCCGACCGCCCTCAGCCCCGCCTGGACCGCAACATCTCTGGTGGATACACAGTGAGCGTTGGCCGAGTTCGTGAGGGTGCCCCAGGTGGTCACTTCGATATCCGATTCGCTGCTCTCTCTCACAACACCGTCATTGGAGCTGCTGGATCATCCATCCTCAACGCTGAGGTAGCTGTTATCAAGGGCTACATTTAAGTCAGTTACGAAAAGTGAAATTATCAGCGCATGTCAAATAGATACAAATTTTCGTACAAATGAATTAGATCTCATTGGTCTCTATTCCTAAAGCGGAAGTTCACGGGTGGATCAGGGCCCCGAAGAGGGATGACATAAGCAAGCGTTAAAACCTTGGAAATCCACTAGTGGAGTCTGATTGGTCTGGGTGGAGAATAGGGCTCACAAAGCACCACACACTAAGCGAATTCTCCTCTGATTTGGATCATCACTTCGCGGCTTGAGCCTTCTCCTTCGACACTCCGACCACCTAACCTTCAGTCGACAAATCAGTCAAAATGCGCGGCCCGTAAGTGTCATGAAATCGCCTTCTACATCACTATTCTGCACACTGGTTTCGTCCTTCTGTTGGATTTCGAGTTCAACCAGTCACTGCGAGAGTGATCGAAAATTTCTCGACTTGGAACATCATCACTAACAAGAATGTTCTCTACAGCGGAAAGCACCAGAAGCGCCTCAGTGCGCCCTCGCACTGGCTCTTGGACAAAATGTCCGGAACCTACGCGCCCAAGGCCTCCCCCGGTCCCCACAAGCTCCGGGACTGCCTTCCCCTGATTGTCTTCATCCGTAACCGGTACGCACGCGACACCATGAATTCCTCGACACGCGACGAACAACCACTGACATTTCTTTCGTTGATAGTCTCAAGTACGCCCTGAACGGTCGCGAGGTCAAGGCCATCATGATGCAGCGTCTGGTCAAGGTTGACGGCAAGGTCCGCACCGACACCACCTTCCCCGCTGGATTCATGGACGTCATCTCTCTCGAGAAGACCGGCGAGCACTTCCGTCTCATCTACGATACCAAGGGCCGTTTCACCGTCCACCGCATCCAGGCTGAGGAGGCTGAGTTCAAGCTCTGCAAGGTCAAGCGTGTTCAGCTCGGCAAGGGCGGGATCCCATTCTTGGTTACGCACGATGCGCGAACGTGAGTTCCACACTCCACAAGTTCCGTGTCATTCAGTCGTTGGACCAAGCTTTGGTTGATCGGCGGAGGACAAGAGAACTTGGAACATCTGTTCCATCTTTCTGGAAACAGTAAGATTCCATTCGATCAGGACATGGTTTTGCTAACTTGCGTTTTCGCTCTACAGCATCCGTTACCCCGACCCTGCCATCAAGGTCAACGACACCGTCAAGG